TGCGAGCCTGTGGAAAGTCTTGCAACTTTGCGCGCAATACCATCGCAAGCGATGAGGCTGCTCGATCAAGATCCCGGTATGCTGACGGGGACGATAAAAGTATTTAGCTGAGCGCTCATCGCAACCCGAAGGTGGCCGATGAATCTCGAACTACGCACTCCATTCGAGACAGCTTCCTTTGGAAAAGTCAGGAAAGCCCACTGCGACGTGATTTGCTTGATGCCGGGCCCTGTGCTTCAGGAGCGCTACAAGGGTACCATGATCTGCTGGCTCAGGCGCGTCTGGTGCCTTGACATAGCTGTGAGCTTGGCTTACGGATAGCGAAAGGTAGGGCGGAGCACTGCCCTTGCTCGACATTTTGGGAACGGTCACAGTGAATCGTCCAAAGCTAATGACCGTTGCGTCTTCTCGCTGCCATTCTTTCCCTCCGCCTTTACACCTCGTTTAGCTTCAGCAACGAGTCCCTTCGTGCGTAGTCAAGTGAGTCCGTTCGAGATGGTCGAAACAGCCCAACCCAGCGCAGCCCGAGCACGAACCAAACAGCTCCTAAATACACACACACACACGCACGCACACACACGCACGCACGCACACACACGCACACACCTGCACACGTCACAGGATCTGTTCAACTGCTCCACAGAACGGACACGAGACCTTACACGCTTCGTGGCCGGCCCCCCAACCTACTCCACAGCGCTTTCGCAAGCATGCAGGGACCTGTGAAGCTTTGCAAAGGACGAGGAGGATGGTGCTGCTGCCGCATACACGAATGCATGCTGCATGCTGACACAATGAAAACGCGCAAAGACCCGCCTGTGCGCCTCGATCGACGTGCACCGCACCGCACCGCACCAGCATCAGCATGCACGCGCAGCTGCGCGCGCTCGGACCACTTCGAGAAGAACACCCTGTGGCTGGTGAGAGCTACTGTAGATACAGTCACGAGTAGATGCAGCGAGCGGGTTCAGCGAAGCATGCGCACCAACGTGATTCGTGATTGTCGTGAGTCGGAAAAGATGCTTTTCGATGGGCGATGGCGGCGCAATTTGCGAACCAAACATTCATCCAGTCTGGACTGTGGGGGGGCTGCTAAGCTTACCCCATCACCATCACCCCAGCTTCGCAGGTTTGTCAAGATGTCGCAGCAAGAATATGACGTGAGTAGAGGCGATGCGGGTGATGCTGCGGATCGCACCGGTGCGGCTGACGCTCGGGTAGCGCTCACCCTTTTTTGTTGTTCCAAGCCGAGAAACATGCGCTTTCGCAGATTGGGGCCCAGCGGGCTGAGGGTCAGTCTGTTCAGTCTGGGTGGATGGCTTACGATCGGAGGTAGCGTGCAGGACGAAGCAACAAAGGAGATCATGAAGGCAGCTTACGAGCGCGGGGTCAATACATTCGACACTGCCGAAGTATATGCCAATGGACAGTGCGAAATTTCGATGGGCAAGGCGATCAAGGAGCTGGGATGGCAAAGAGAACCGCTGGTACTCATCACCAAGATCTTCTATGGAACTGGCGCAAAGGATCCCAACGCGACGGGCTTGAGCAGGAAACACATCATCGAGGGCGCCAATGCTTCATTGAAGCGTGCTGGCTTGGAATATTGGGACATCATCCTTGCCCACAGTCCGGATGTGACTGTGCCCATGGTAGAAGTGGTCAAGGCATTCAATCAGCTCATTCAGCAAGGCGTGAGTCGCACTTCACCCATCGTCCCGGTCCCGTGTGCAGAAGCAGGGATCTGATACGCGCCTGTTGGTGACCCATGCATCACAGAAATGCTTCTACTGGGGCACGTCGGCATGGAGCGCAGAGCAGATAAGCGAAGCGTACGGTATCGCCGAGAAGCTTGGTCTTGATCCTCCTTTGGCCGACCAGTCGCAATACTCCGCACTGCATCGAGAGCCGGTGGAGAAAGACTACTTGCCCCTGTACCAGAAGCACGGTATGGGATTGACCATCTGGTCACCCCTTGCCTGGGGACTCTTGACGGGCAAGTATGCTGATGGAATTCCCAAAGGCTCGCGCTTCGACGTGAACAAGGATTCCTTTGGAGGCGTCATCGACAGCCTCAAGACCGCAGAGGGTCAAGCCAAGTTGGAAAAGGTTCGCAAACTGTCGGAAATTGCAAAGGAGCTTGGATGCTCCGTCGCCGTACTCGCCATCGCTTGGGCTGCCAAAAACGAACACGTCTCTACAGTCATCCTTGGCGCCAGCAAGCCCGAACAGATCATCGAGAATCTGACTGCTTTGGACTACATCGACAAGCTCACACCAGATGTGCTCGCCAAGATCGAGGCTGTCCTAGCCAACAAGCCAGAAGCATTGCCCACATTCGGGCGAGCGTAGATCGCGCTGGACTCGCGACTCTTGCAGCATAGTTGTTCAGCACACACTCGCTGACTTGTACGGGGGGAAAGCTATGGAGCGCTATACAGTGGACCATGTCACGAGACTCACACTCACGACTCACGGACTGTCTTACTTGTGGTCTGTTCGAGATGTTTGCCCTCCCTCCGCGCGGCAACGGAAAACACTCACGCTTGACCTGCTGCTTCCTGCATGCATGCATGCATGCATACATGCGCGCGAAGTGCTGCAGGGACCATCACATGCACAGCCTTTCAATCGTAAATGCATGGGGGTTGCGTGGTATGAAGTAAGCTTGCTTAGAGCTTCTGCTGCCTAACCCATGCACTCACGACTCTAGTAGTAGTCATGTAGTATTTGAGCTTTCGCGTGTGGCGTGCCAACTCGCAGCGCACGCTTTTGATTTAGCAGCTAAAACATCTCCAGCTTGTGACTCTCGATCACCTTGAACGTTTCCTCATCTGCTAGATTCGCCAGCCAGTCATCAGGCCTCATATTTGTGCTCACGCGTGACCATGCGCTCAACACTGCGAGACGGATCTCATCTTCCACCCGTGACTATACTGCTATACGCTTACACTCTAAAGTGTGCGGTTTTGAAATCGCAGCACCCGTGTGCGTGAGAGAGAGTCACCATGCAGTCGTGAGTCGTGAGTCGTGAGTCGTG